ATACGCAGAAAGGGTTTAATGTCTTTGTTTTTTCACACCATCAATAATGTTTTTCCATGCAGCATCCTTGGAGTGATACAGTGCGGTTGGCCATTGATTTGGAAGCAATGGGCATAGGAGGCAAATCTGGTGTTTTCCAGGTCTGATGTTGTTGATGAGCAAAATTTTATCCTTTCTTCGTATTTCCATATTTCTCTTCATAAATATATATGCTTCTGTACCTGCCAACACAATAGTACAAGCAATGCCTTATATTTGATATGAAGTATTAAAAAATATTAGCACAAATGATGTATATTGTTTCGCATTAAAGCGAATTGATTCACAGCTTCAAGGAGATTATGATGCCATTTTCTATTTCTTTCATATATTTTTCTTAATTTCCTAATCTCTACCACATAAGTATAACAGTTAACCAATTTTCATTTTCTTTCCAATGTTTTCTTGCTGTCTTCAACAGGCTGGTCCTCATCCTTGGGCTATAGAAAACTATGCTTTGGTTGCAAAATATCCATCTGCACAAATTGTTGCCGAGGTTTGTTCATAATCAAATGCAACAGAAGATCTTGCTATCACCTTTGTCTTTTTTCGATCCTACACTGTACTTTTGCTCAGGATTGGAAACAACCTCGTATTCTGTGTGACTCGAACCACAGGATCTTTTCTCTTCGGGCGCTATAAAATCAGCGACGGACTTTCAAGTGTACAAAGAGCTTGCACGACTTTCAGGGCTCGATTTCGCATTCGCAGATAATACCGCTGTGTACCACACTAAGGTAATTGCAGCATGATGAACTACAAACTGCATTTACTTGAAGTTTTTTTCCTATTAATGCACTTCATTCTTTGATAAGAAGAAACTTTAAACTTTTTACTTATTTAACTGCAGAACGACAAGTTAGAACTTTTGTCACCTGGTTCTCTGCAACATCTTGGAGAAAATATGCTTGCTTTCTTGCTTCATGCAGCTTCTTCCACCAGCCTCCCGAGTGACAAATCAGAAGAATCAGATATGAAATCCAGCGAGGAAAAGGCTATATATTTCGATGTTTTGGTATCTTGACTGGCTCCTTTTGTTGTATATATATTCATAAATATAAAATCTCTTGTGGTTNNNATGACTTTAAAATTAAAAAAATTCCAAAAGATTTTTGCATTTTCTTAACATTTATCCTCCTATTTACGTGAAACCCAAAACTAGAAACAAATATCAAGAGTTCATTTGTAAATTCTAAAATAACTTAACCTCAGGGTTAATTTTTTTAATTTGGGAAATAATGGACTATATTTTCATCATCAACCTCTCTTATCTCAGGGTACATACATGATCACATTCAGGCAGCGTTTTGCCACCATGCTTTACAATTCAGTAATATTACAATCCCTCTTGATATGGACAACTTCGGTTTTCATGGGCGGTTATACTGCAGTCATCTCATTGGCTCTATCATTTGTAAGCATCATTCTCATGTGGATATTTTCCATTAGTTTTTCATCTGCCGTGGCCTTTGTTCTCCCGCTCGTGTCGTCTTCACCAGTACCATTTGTCGCTAGCCCGTGGCTTGTTGTTGGTTTATTCGGTGCACCTGCACTTCTTGGAGCATTGACTGGTCAACACGTTGGTTATCGTTTTCTCGAGACTTATTTGGCAAGTAATGTAACTGAGAGAAGGAAAAGTTTGCCAGCTGGCTTGAAAGCCAGTGTGGCTAAGCTGGATGCTGAGAGATGGGTTTTTAAAGCCGGCTTACTGCAATGGCTTGTTGTGTTGATAGCCGGGAGTTATTATAAGGTTGGCGCTACTTATCTAGCTTGTGCTTGGTTAGTCTCACCCGCATTTTCATGTAAGTTTTTTTTCGTGAATATCTTGTATTAAATTACACACTCGTGTAATTTCTAACCTTTCTTTATTGTTAATGTTCTGAATCTGGATCATCTAGATGGTCTGCTCGAGGCAACATTATCACCAACAAGGCTTCCAAAGCCGCTTAAAACCGTGACCTTGATTATCGGCTTGTTTTTGCCCTTTCTACTCTCTTCTGGCATGATAATTAGGTTGACTGCTACTGCAATTGGAAGTGCTGTCCGCTTTGTACGGTAATGGTTCTGCAATTCTCTTAAAAACTGACCACTTTACTTATAAATTGTGTTTCACTATTATTTGTTCTCTCTGATCAATTCGTTGATGTTCACACGAAGTACATTTAAGTCTCAAAATTCATTTTCTAATAGAGAAACTAGAATCGACCACAACAAAAGGCCTCGTTGTCATGCCAGTTTCTCCTTTTTTGACTTTCGCTAGATCATTATGCCTCAGATCTTTGAAAAAATGAGTCTTATTAATAATTTGTGCCTGTATTTGCAGGAACCCTGGCACAACTCCTGAATGGATGGGAAATATTGTTATTGCCATTTTCATTGCTGCTGTTATATGTTTGACAATGGTGTATCTATTGTCATATATTCACATATCAGGTGCTCAACTCATTGCCATTTTCTTTTTTACTTGCTTCAACAATCATTTTGACATTCCATAATCAGTCAATATCGTGAGAGAATCGATTCACCAAAAACACCCAAATGAGATTTATATGATTTAACTCTTTCTGCTAAGAACATTGTATGGTAGACTTGCACTTAATATAGTTATTGAATGTCAAACGAGTGTCTTAACAGCTTAAGTTTTTTAATGACACTGCCACTCAATTGTTTTTGTAAATAGTCATGTTTTTTTATATTCATTGTTTTTAATAATTACTCATATGTACCATGTCAAGTGCTGTTACTTACAATCAGAAAATAATAAAAAGAACTTGCTTCTGTGTTAGACGTGTTTTGGCAGAATACATTCGACGTTGTATCTATTTTAGAGGAGAAAATATATTGCAAAAGCATTTAAGTAATCCTAGAAATTAATTTAGACAGTTCGTAAGATCCCATCACAAGACAAAGCGTACATTGGATACAACAACAACAACATCAACAACATACCCAGTATATTTCCAACAGGTTGGGGTCTGGGGGGTCAGTTGTACGCAGACCTTACCCTTGTAATTATACAAGGAGGCTGTTTCCGTAGCGACCCAAGGTGCATTGCGCCGTTTGATATATTTTTTTTCTAGAAACTTCACTAATAGAAAAAGCACTAGAATTTAATTGAGCCATTTTGATCTAGTCCATTATTAGCACTATGCCAGGAGAACTGTCAACAATGACTCTTCCAACTCCATTTGCAATGGACAAAAAAGCGTACATTGGATGTTTTTAAAAATATATTTTTGAATTTCAAGATAATAGTTTTCATTACAAATGACGACCTCATTTGNCCACCCTATACAGAAGATATTGCTCGAGCTGTAAATGTGAGTAACTTTTAAGATTATATTCGTCTACCAAACTTGAAGATTCAAATTATATACGTCTACCAAACTTTAAGCAATAAAACATCCTCTTTCTTTACCTATACATTATACAATATATGTGTGTGTCTGTGTGTGTGTGTGCGCGCGTGTGTGTGTGTTTGTGAGTATGTTATAACACAGACTAGATGGCGTTAATTTGATATATCACACATCTCAAAAGACAAACTTTAACATTTTTTTTTTCTTTTTCCTTTTCTGATATGAACCTTACATTTCACAAGACGATGTCTCTAATTAATGTGTGAACTTCTAAAATCATAATTTTCTTTTTATTAATTTTTAATGTGTGAACTTCTAACATTCCCAGGTGGTGCACGTTGTGGACACGACAGGCGAAAATCGCGAACCGGTCTCTTACATTTCTCTATTCTCGACAACTCCTGGTAACCTGAACAAGGAAGCTAACGATATTGGGGAGGGGTTCGTCTGTGGCAAAGACAAACATATAGATTTCGTCACTTTCTCCGTAAATTACAGCTGTTGGTCGAACAAAAATGCCGAAATTGGGTGGGTCAAGTCCGAGATACCCACAATCCACGCGGATAATAAGGATACAGAAGGAGACAGCCGAGTCACTCAAGTTTCCATAGACGCAAAAGCTTCTACCCGATGGTCTCTTGGGATTAATACCGTTGAAATCGAAGATTTTCAGTTGAAAGGTATCATCAAATAAATTTTCTTGTTGATATTTGTTCATATTCTGTGGATTGGACCACCGAGGGTTATTCTAATCACAGACGAATCAGGTCTGCGCGTTTGTTCTTAGGTGCAAATACAAAAAAAAAAACGTAAGTACAAGTTATTAGCACAAAGATTTAGTTTGTGGTTGTGTTTGTGTTTTCGACTTCTTAGACTACCTTAGAGTAGACCTCCTTCTAGATACAGCTACCGCTGATTGATTTAGCTGTTATAGTTTGGAAATATTTGTGTTATTAATATAAAGTCTATCGTTTCGAAAAAAAAAATAAAAATTGTTAGCTCAAATATTTAGATGAAGTATAAGATACCATCAAACCTCAAGTCTTGTTTTTGCAATTTGGAGCTTTGTGTGTGTGAGCGCTCGATTACACTTAACCCACAGTGGGCAGTTCCAGTGATTTCACTAATGCAATCAAACTTGGACTTTATTTCCTTTTCCGGTAATATTTTCATTTTCCATCTACAGAATCAGAAACTTTCGAGGAATTGATCTCGGCTGGCGAAAAGGGTAGTGTCGACGGGTGGCACACAATTCAGTTCTCGGGCGGTAAAAGGGCCCCAACCAAGTTTGCTCTCTCCCTTTTCTGGTCCCAAAATAGTACGCGCGCGACAACTTCTTATGATGCAGGTAAAGACCATAAAACCCTTTTGAGACTTAGAACGGATGTCGACAAGTTGACACCACAGTATAAAAAGGTTCTTGAGAAGCTTCCCCGGTGGTGTTCGCTCTTCGGGAAGTCGACATCCCCACACACATTTGCATTTGTGAGCAGTTTACGGATTTCTTTCTAGAAACTTCTGGAGATTGACCATTGCTGGAACTTAGACCACCTCCCGCCCTTATCTCTACTCCGGTGTAGATTTTATTAGAGTAGAGTTAATCAACAGCCAAAGTTTCTCTCCAATCGACATTTTCACGACATGAATATATATACATTTTATTCTCATTATTTTAAATTAATTGTAGTTCAAAAAGTATAAGAAATGAAATATATTATCTTGCACATATGTAGTTATTTTAAATTATGATTGAAAAATATAGAATTAAATACAACATTATTTGTATCAAGATTATTTTATTTTTTAGAAGATTACGAGTATTTCCTACTAACATCAAGAAAGTTATAGTGAAGTAATGTAAGTCATAAAATTGTTACTAACAATATATAGATGTAAGATTATTTGTTACTAACCATATATAAAGATGTCTGACATTATTTTATTTGGTAAAGTATATTCATGTGTATTAATACATATTAAAATTATACATAATTGATATCCATTATACAAAAAATTATAAAAATAAAAAATAAAATTTAATGCAATTATGAAGTTATGCATAAATTAGACACGCTAGAGTTAATTTGACGAATTCACAAACTGGGTTGTTGCAGACAAACGTACGCTAGAGTTAATTTGACGAATTCACAAACTGGGTTGTTGCAGACAAACGTTGAATTTCGTTCGGGGTGGACCAGTAGATTTGGTGAGAATAGAGTTAATTTCACGAATTCACAAAGTGGGTTGTAACTCGATTCAGTTATTTCTAAATTCATTTGAGTTAATTCTACAAAAACTAGTCATTTTATTGGTAACAAATGGTGTAATAAATGTTAAATTTAATTCCACAAAAATCATTTAAGTTAATTCACATAAATTAAGTCATTTCATTGGTAACAAATGTGAGTAGAATTGGAAATGTTGTTTTGAAAGTTAATTCTCACAAATTAAGCTCTTTAGTTCTAAATTAATTCTAATTAATGCAAGATTGTCATTATGCTGTTATATGTTTGTGCGCGCCGTAGGATTGACTTGCTAGTAATTGAACTAGTGTGTAGCCCGTGCGATGCACGGGTAAATATTAATATTATTGAAGATGCGGAGTAACATATATATGTAAGAAGTATCTAAAACATTCTATGTTGAACGCAATTCTCATTTAACACGAAATAGTGTAAATAACGCAAAAAGTCAAGCTTTCAATATATACACTAACATGACCCACATACACGAAAATGGTGTTAGGACGGTCTAAATCGGTCAAAATGATTAGAGGTCGTGAACAATCCGTTTCACATATAAAAGGTAAAATTTCCCAAACTTTTTAGGATTTTCATAAGATCCACCTACCATTTTATGTTTTTCCTCAACTTTGTTTCGTTCGATTCTCAAGAACGATTCACAAATTAACCTTGTGAATCTTATGTTTTTGTTTCCAACCGACGATAACTATTTTCAGAAATCACGTAAAATCAACAAATAACACAACTTAATAAAAAACAATGGCAAATTTAATGGGTTAATTTTCTGTAATTTTATTATTAATTTACCCAGTTTGAAAATATTTGGATTATTTGTTTATGAATATTTGTGGAACAATTGAGAACAAATCATCGTATTGTAAAGAGAAATTTTATGTGCAAACATAAAATGTTGGTTTTATTTGAGTTAAAATAATGTGTGTATGATCTATTTAGAGCCCTCTAATTTTTTATTTTCCTGAACTTGAATTTGATTAAATATTATTAGGGTATAATCTCTATTTAGAATTTATTATCTATTTTTCTTTTAATTTCTTGAACTTGAATTTGGATTCGTCTGAAAGGTTCCCTTGTGCTTGATTGTGAATTAGATAAGATTAATTTAGGGACCAAATTATTGATTTTCAAATTAAAACATGCAATTAAGGCGATAATTTTACTAACTTGCTGAGATGTATTATTAGAAAAAAAACATGCAGGAATTTTTTAAGAATAGGAGAATCTCAAAACCGAGAGAATAAAGAGAATCCCGAAATCCTAAATTTGTTCCGATTTTTCAGAATAGGGAGAATTCCATCCCAAAATTTGTCCGATTTCATTTAATGTTAATGATTTAAAAAATAAAAAAATTTCCAAAAATAGTATGGATTAAATGATGTCTGGAAATCTTTGTTAACTATTTTTAGTAAATGTTAATTCTTATTATATATATATATAGATATTATAAAATAAAATAAAACAAAGTATGAAATTTGGAGTTCTAAGTTCGCATTTTTGTTAAAAATAATGACACGTTGACTTGACTAACTCTTACTTCAGCTCACATCAGAGTTTGTGAATGATTAGATTTTTCACAATTTAAATTAAAAGATCTTGTTTAGGAATGAGGTACTTAATGCAAAATTAATGATCACTTGTAATTTCTTAGAATTACATAAAGATATAAAATAATATAATATTATATTAAAAAGAGATGGTTACATATTTTCTTAATGTGTATGCAAATTCCATCAATATAGAGTATATGTTTCAAATAATAATTGATTTGAAATAATAATTGATTTTAAATAAAATATTTGAATAAAATAATAATTGATTTTAAATAAAATATTTGACTTCAAATTTTGTTTTAGTGATTGATTAATTAAGATTAATAACTTATTATTATAAAAAATAATAAAAATTTTGTTCCAATAAAAATAATAATTGATTTTAAATAAAATATTTGACTTTAAATTTTGTTTTAGTGATTGATTAAATAATATTGATAACTTATTATTATAAAAAATATAATATATAAGGAAAGGAACTCATACTCGCAAACGGGAAGAGAAACAAATAATAATTGAGATATTGAGATGAGAATTCATATAAATAATTATGTATAATTATTTGTAACAAATATTTATGATATTGTTTGAATGGTAAATAATACATAGAAGTTAACAAAATTTATTTCATGGTAATATATGTAGTTGAAGCATTTATTTAGTCAATAAAAATAGGAGTGCAAATTCCATTGCAATTATAATACAAATTAATTGTTTATATGTAATAAATATTTTTTGTTGATAAATCATGCATAGAAATTGATAACATTTATGACAATGTATTAAATGTAGTTTTGGAGGGAAATGTCCAACTGCTTAGCTTTAATATATATATAGATTGTCTGCAAAAGTAATACTTCCATCACACTCCATTAAGCTACAAATAATCCCTTATTAGACCTAAATCCAATGCCAAACCTCATCTCACCTACTTCTAATCTTCCTCCTCCATCTCTTAAAAAACTTCATATTTATATAACTCAAATCTCTCTTTCCTCCTCCTAACCAGCTAAATTACCGATCTAACCCGCCTACTCGCCCACTCCGCATTAACACTACTGTACAAAGAACCAACGAACAATCGAAATCAAAAGCAACTCCACAAGACACGAGCACGAAATTACATGGAACGACACATAGCTTGGGCTTTGATGCCCGAACAAGTTTGGGCCAAAAGTCAAACACATTTCATGGACTCCGAACAAGTTTGGGCTTCAAGGCCCGTGGGCCCAGGCCCATCTCGGAACCTCATCTCAAGGACCTTCTTATGAGAGTTGGAGTGCATGGCCGGGACAAATGTGGGGCTTGCGGCCGGTCTATACTCCGGGAAGAGCCTTCCAGACTTGTAGCGGACCCCACAAGCATTGCACAGTGTCTTCGGGCCCATTGGCCCTGCCCGCCATTGCGGAGTCTTTGTGATCTCACAGTGCATGCATTTCCGAACCACCGAGCATTCGGATCCATCCATAGGTGGGGAGATTTTGATTTTCTTGTTCTTGTTCTTCTTCTGGGCTGGGCCCAGGCCCGACTCAGCGAAACTCTCGATGGGCCTTGGGCTGAAGGTCGTGGCCCTGGGTCGCTTGCTGCGGGCCCGTTGAGGCCCGGGATGAGGATTTGGGCTGAGAAGTGCTGTTTTTTCACCGGAGCAGGAAGAGGTGCTGCTGCTGTTGCTGCTGGTCGTGCGGCTATCGATTTGAGGGTGCTCTGTTTTTTTCGTGTACTGGCTGACTTCTTTCCCGATGGTTAGTCCACCGCCCGAAAACGAGTCCTCGACAAAAGTCGAGAGCCACTCGAGTTGCACGATGTCTTCATACTGGGAAGCAAGATAATATAGAGGGGATTGGATGAGAGATAAGTTGAATATAGTGTTAGTAAAGGCTGAATTTTTACCACAAAATCGAAACATTTCGAATTTCGAACAAAAAACTGCACGGTTTGAAGACTCAAAATCGACGAGTAGTCCCTACAGCATTATATGTGAATTCAACATGTTGAAAGTACACAAAAGTGAAGTAAACTTTCTGCATTAGTATTGTAGTTATAAACTCTTTGATCATATTGCCACTCAATCAATATGATCTGTTTTACTTCAACAAAAGATGATGCCCCATTTTTCACTTTTCAGCATGATTGAATATTAGAAATATCATATCTTAACTTAATACAAAAGTTATCATACAACAACAACAACAACATACCCAGTATATTCCCAACAGGTTGGAGTCAGTTGTACGCAGACCTTACCCTTGTAATTATACAAGGAGGCTATTTCCGTAGCGACCCAAGTTGCATTGCGCCGTTTGATATATATTTTCTTTTTCTAGAAACTTCAATAATAGAAGAAGCACTAGAATTTAATTGAGTCATTTTGATCTAGTCCATTATTAGCACTATGCCATAGCACTATGCCAGGAGAATTGTCAACAATGACTCTTCCAGCTCCATTTGCAATGGACAAACAACAGTTATCATACCTTTAGCACTAACAGTCCCAACTTACTGAAGACACACGATTGATCAAGAATTGTTGAAATCATTAGGACCACAACTTAAGTTTCTTCAATCAATCATGTTAACAAGAACTTTAATATTTAGATTGATTATGAAAAAATAACCCATCCATTAAGTATAATTACCCAAAAAGTTCATAGTCCAAATGGGTGCACAATTTGCAGAATATAAAGATTTTCAACTTTTATTTTTGCAATCAAAATCATCCAATATACTTATTTGGAGTTAAGTAAGTTAACTAATTGCAATGGAACAAAAAAGGGCAATGCTCACCGGAACTGAGAGTTCAGTCGAGAGGTCAGACGGGGCATCGCCAGTAAAAAACGGGTCAGATGAAGGAAACGGGTCGCTCCACATACTCGGAAAATCTTTTGAATCACACAACCCCACAAAATTACTTTCGACACCACATTCATTGTCGGGTGGGAACTCAATCAAGTCTTCAATTTGATCGAAGAAATTTTCACAGTCAATCTCACCCACCATGTTTGGCACCATTGTTTCAACTTTTTTTACCTAAGAAATAAAAACAAAAGAGTTGAGAAATAAAATGACATAGCAAGTATAATGAAATAACTTGTACTATATGATGAAAATAGAGCAACAAGAAAAAAGTGGCTTTTAATATTTATGCTTCACAGATTTTGAGAAGGTAATTCTTTCAAATTGTGCTACCAAGAACTTAAAAACACAAACTTTTGAATTGGGATACTGAAAATCTTCGTCAAACACTGAAATAATATAAAGTCATGAGAAGAGAATAAATTA